GTGTGTGGCCCCCCCGCCACCCCCCCAGCCTCCCTCTGAAGCACGTGCCCCCCAGGACCAGCTGACTGGATGCCTGAGGGGGCCCAGGCCTCTCTTCCATGACATGCAGTGACAACATCATGGATTTCACTCGGGATACGCCTCAGTTCCACCTTCCTTGTAAGAAGTCAGTTGCCGAAAGTCCCTAAAAACACTGCACAATGAGGATGTGATGTTCACCAAGATCAAGGCCACAGAGCTACAGACAGCGCAGGCGGCCAGGCCAGCCACATGAGCAGTCTACGTGTCACTGAATGCCAGTGGCGGACGGAGTGGCTCAGAGGTGACACTTCTCAGCCACTCCCTCCCAGACATGGCGACCTTGTCTGCACAGTGTTAGCACTGGGCACTTCTGATGGTGAGAATAATTATATCATGTTAATATCAAGGGAGAAGGGGCCTTTCAGATGACTTAGTTCAACATTTCTGGGACATGAGCAAAATAATAGTACTACCGTTACTAAGTATTTTCTTTGTGTCATTTAGGTATTGTCTTGTTTTCATCATCAAAACAGTTCTGGGAGGCAGGTATTATGACCCCATTTTATGGATAAGAAGAGTGAGGTTCCGAGAGGCGCCTTGATTTGTCCAGGCTCACATAGCTGGTGAGCAGGAGCATGGAATTTAGTGCAGGTGTTAACCACCGCGACTGAGAAATGACTCATCCATCACCTCTTCATATACAGTTCATTTCAAGGGGGAGAGACGAAGGTGTCAAGCTCGATTCCCATACGTGAAAGGAGAAGGGGGAGGCGAATTACTTTAGTCCGGTCCAAGTTCCAGAGGGAAGTGAAGATCTTATGCAGATCACTGGTGTTTTTCAGAATTTGCTCAATGAAGGTGTCCCACTCGGTGCTCAGTTCCTCCTGAGAACAATTCTGAAACAGAAACAGCCTGAGCTCGGGAGCCGAGATTCTGAGACACCTCTTCGGTAAGGATCCCAACTACCACAACCTGACTCCTCACACGGACACCGGCAGAGGGAGGGGGACTTCCTACCCTGAGCCTCCCCACCACACTCAGGGCCCTGCCCTTCCCACCTACCCCAGGGGGAGGAGTGTAGGTAAACCCTTGGAATAACTGTGACCTACGCCACTGGGGAACAGAGGCATCTGAGAGGGGCTCCAGGAGTCCCCGACCTGGGGGCTGGACACAGTGTGTCCGTGTGGAGTGGAACAGACCCTAGCGTGCTAGTAAGTGCCGTGTTCCGGCAATTCTGGTTCTGCACAAGAGATGCCACATCCAGGCTCCTCAATACCTTGTAAGCCAGAGAAACAGGTCCATTGTAGAAGCTAAACAATCCAATGAGCTGATGCAGAAACTGCTGGCAGCTGAGATCCGGGAGCTCCACAGCACAGCCCAGCACCTGTAACGTGGGAAACGGACACAGGCATTTTCCTGGATTGAGTCCAAGCCCTGAATCCCTGCATCCAGGGCTCGCCACAGCCAGACCCCAGAGCCCATTGAAACTGATCTACTGCCCAGCCCACACCCTCCACTCCAGCCAAGCTGGTCTCCGCAGAGAACAAGGTCTAGTACACGTCGCCCAACCTGAAATGCCCTCCTTCCTGTTCATTGGCCCAGCGCCCTCCCATCCCCTCAGTGCCCCTCACAGATGCTAGCACCTCCATGCAGCTTGCCCTGACCACCCAGCGCAGTGGTAGGCCTGTTATTTGGACACTGATACGGGTTCACAGCAAACGCTGGGCTGAAACTGTTTCCCGGAGAGCCCTGGCACCTCCGAGCTGGACCAAGGGCTCTGAGAACAGAAACTGACTAAATCCCCACGCATCTCAGAGCTCCCGGATGCGGGGTGCAGCGTCGTTCCACGAAGATAAGCACTGGCTCTGCTAGACAGCATCTCGCCATATGTTCAAAGAGCCTGGAAGACGTTCATGTCCTTTGACTCAGCAGTTCTACCTCTAGGAACCTTTCCTCAGGGAATCATCAGACACGTAAACAAAGGAGCAAGCCAACCCTGCAGGAGGGAAATTTACAAACTCCCTCTAAATGTACGCTCTGCGAGGCAGGGCCCTTTGTTTTCCTCCTGATGTAACCCAGGAGTTACATCTTCACTGATGTGACCCAACCGCACGGATTAAGAGCCTGCTGCTTCCCCAGCTGGGCTGTAGATCGGCTGCGATTCCGATCACAACCCCACCAGCTTTGCTGTAGAAAATGACAAACTGACTCTACTACGGAAACACAAAGGACCTGCAATGTGCAAAGCTAACCTGCAAAAGAAAAGGCAGGACGACTTACCCTACCTGATTTTAAGAGAGCGTGCTGCCCCTCTAAGATCTTCAGAGAGACCAATGGAAGGACAGGCAGCCCAGAGACAGCCTCGCTTAAGCGGCCCCTGACCTTTGACAGAGGAGCCGAACAGGGAAGGGTCCAATAGGAAAGGGGAGTTGTGCGGCAGTAGTGCCGGAACCAAAGGGCCCTTGACCTCTACTTCACATCCAAACACAAGCATTAATCCAAGACGGATCACTGACTCAAATTTAAAAGCGAACACTAGAAACTTTCCCCCAAATTGAGGACATCTTCTCCACTGAGGTAGGCAATGGTTTTAGACAGGATACAGAAAGCAATAACGGTAAGATTGATAAATTCGACTTCGCTGAAATGAAAACCATCTGCTCATCAGAAGACATCATTAGGAAAATCAATAGGAGTACTGCAAAGTGGGAGAAAATATCTTTAAAATATGTATCAGACAAAAGAACTTGTAGCCAGGATATATATAAAAAAACCCTACAACTCAATTTAAAAAACAACAACCAATTTACAAAATGGACAAAAGCTTTGGGTAGACACTTCGCAAAGGAAGATATACGAATGGCCTCAAACCCATGAAAAAGCCTTAACACCATTAGTCATTAGGGAAATTCAAATGGAACTACAATGAGCTACCACGGCACATCCAGCTGAATGGCTAAAATTAAACATCTGCCAACATCGGTGTGGACGAGGATGTAAAATAACCGGGATTCTCACACACCGCTGGAGGGAATGTAAAATGGCACAGTCACTTTGGGGAAAGGGCTGGTGGTTTCTTATAAAATCAACACACACCTACCCCAGGACCCAGCGATTCCACACGGAGATATTTACTCACGAGAAATGAAAACTTACGTCCATGAAAAGACTCATATAGGAATGTTCCTAGGAGCCTTATTCTTACATGCCCCAAACTGGGCACAGTTCATGTGTCCGGGAAAAGGGGACTGAGCCCTGGCCAGTGTGGCTCAGTTGGTTGAGCATCACGCCGTGTACTGAGAGGTCGCCGTTCAATTTCAGGTCAGGGCACATGCCTGGGTTGTGGGCTCAATGTTTCTCTCTCTCTCTCTCCTTCTCCCTTCCCCTTTCTTTAAAATCAAATAAAAAAAATTTTTTTTTAAATAAAGGAGAATGAATAAGCAGACTGTGATGTCTTCAGACAACAGAATGAAGTTCAGCAATGAAAGGGAAGGCACTGCCCATACACGCAACATGGATGAATCTCACAAACGTAAGCATGACAGAGCCTGCAGAGAGGATGTTATATGTATTATTTCACTCCTATGATGAACTCTCCAAACATTTCTGACATATCATGGCTGGTTCCTCTCTCCTTTGAAAGACTGAAACCAACCTATAGAAATTCTTTCTATTCTGTGATGCAAATTGAGTTTTTAATCCCCATCTTTACTTCTGTATACTTCCACACTTCCTGGATACATGACCCAGAAACTCGAAAACATTGATGCATGTATGTCAGGTTTCAAAGAACCGTTAAAAAGAAGGAAAAAAAGAACAACCATTTCTTTACATACAGTAGTACCGTATACCCTCAAGTGCCCTTTCCCCACGCCTACACTTATCTCAAAGTATTTCTGAGCAGAAGGGGTGTTCAAATGTAAGAGTATTCATCTTTGTTGGTATTATTTCCAGCATTTCATTATGAATTTTTTCTGACATACCAAACAGTCGAAAGAGTTCTATAGTAAATATTCATACAGCTGACCCTCGAACAACAGAGGATTTCCAAACCTCACCGTCACGATATTTATCGCCCAGACCATGACTCGTGGTAGAGGCACTGGTTCTGCCCGTGAAACTCACCCAAAGGTAATCTCCATCAACCTTGATAGCGAACTTCAGTTTCCGCAGCCGAATGAGAGTGGGAGGAGTGCCCGAGATGTCAGAGATACAGCGGACCACCCCGGCAATCTGGCCGCAGAGCAGCTCCCGTTGGTCAAGCAGGGTCTATGGGAAAGCAGCAAATGCCAGACAGGAAGTTGAAATTGCTGGGCTCTTGTGTCATTCCTTGGAGCAGACATGGTCTGCAGGCCAGAGCCAGTCGGCGGCCTATTTTTATGTGGCCTGAACTAAGAATTTCTACAAGGGTTGTCAAAACAGCAACAAAGAATATGTGATGAGGACCATCTGTGGCTTCTTACAAAGCCTGAAATATTTAGCTGTTTTCGGACAAAGTCTGTGGACTCCTGCCTGAACACCCACAGCGAACACATAAGATGATTCCACAGAAATGCATTTTCCTCCCTAGGATTATACCCTAGAATTTACCCCCCGGCATGGATAGAAGCGTGAGCCTTTCATCCCTATTCAAATCCCCTGCAGAGTGGCCAGAGCAGCCTGGATTAATCCCAGTTATCCAAGTCACAGGGTAATCACGTGAGCGAATTTACAGACCCCCTAAGGCAGTGGTTCTCAACCTTCCTAATGCTGCGACCCTTTAATACAGTTCCTCGTGTTGTGGTGACCCCCAACCATAAAATTATTTTCGTTGCTTCTTCATAACTGTAATGTTGCTACTGTTATGAATTGTCATGTAAATATCTGATATGAAGGATGTTTTTAGGCGACCCCTGCGAAAGGGTCGTTCGACCCCCAAAAGGGTCGCGACCCACAGGTTGAGAACCGCTGCCCTAATGGCTCTTAGCATTAACTCAGCTGCGGGGCAGCCAGACATTATGTGATGAACAGAAAATGTACACACCACCTATGAAAAATCCTTGCGTAAAATAAATGAACTTGAACCTCACCAAGGCTCTAGATCTTACCACCGGTTTAAAGGCAACCCGGTGGATAGAAGACGTTAAATGACACCACCAGGAGGAAGTCATCAGCAAGCCCAGACCTTGGGAACAGGCTCCCGTTCTATTGCACAAATGGCCTGGTTTCTTCGTAACAATGCATAGAGGGGGAAAGAGGCGGGGTGGGTGAGGACGGCTACACAGCGAAAGGGACCTAACACACAACATAACCCAATGGAACAGCGAACCTTGATAGGGTCCTGATCAGGAAAAAGAGCGAGAAAGGGGGAAGGAAGGAGAGAAAAAAGGAAACTAGGTCTAGGCAACATCTAAGTAATAAGACAAAATTTGAATATAGGCACTACCTGACGATATTAAGGAATTATTGTTACTAATTATTGTAACTGTTGTTAGGTGTGACTTAAATAAGAAAAGTCCTTTTCAGTTAGAGAGGTTACTTGACCCTGATGAGATAACACAATGTCTAGGATTTGCTTCAAAATACTCCAAGAATAAAAGGGCAGAGAGTTTAGGTTGGGTCATATAAAATTAGCCAAGTGTTGGTAACTGTTAAAGCTGGTGACAGGCATGTAAGGGTTCATGATACTTTGTATATGTTTGAATAAAAGTTTTTGGTTTTTTTTTTAACGAGCCGATCAAAAATTGGGAGCAGTGGGGCAGAGAGAAAATCATGATGGTAAGAGCCAGATAAGATGGAAGACTGAGCTGGGAGTTTAAAGACCAGAACAAGAACTACTACAACCCAGTCTAAGAGAGTAGAAGCACCAAGTGCCTGGATTATCCAAAGAAAACTGTCCCAATGTAAACCCTACACTTTTTTTTTTTTTCTATTTTTCTGCAAGGACAAGGACAGCGGTCACACCTCCAGCCCAGGAGGGTTACCTGCAGCCCGCTCCCCAGTGCCCTGGCTGGGATGCCGCCAGCCCCACTGCATCTGCCACCTGCACCCACCCACCCACCGAGGTCCCGCCCGCGGTTCCCAAGGGGAAGCCTGAGCACAAGTCCCACACACGAACCCCAAACGCCAGCCGGCGGGCGCGCCAGGAATATCAGGCCACAAACCATTCTCAGTGCCCACGGTTCTGAGCACTGAGTGTAGAAATGGCCACTTCCTCTGTGCCCGGGCGTCACAGGTGCAGCAGGCAGCCGCGTCTGTGGTGCCGGCAGGTCCAGCACCCGCAGGGCAGCAACCCTACACTTTTGAAAAGTCACCACGTTGAGGCATAAGTTCTGTTCCGTGGATGGATCCCCACCAAACCATGGCAGGCTGGGTGGCTCACCTGAGAAGGATAGAAGTAACAAATGCCAGCTCTTGTTGGGTCGCCTTCTTCCTTTACCTTTGAACCATCGTAGAGGAAGAAGTAATTCCACCTAGCAAGAGAACAGAGCAGAGATGCTGCCTTTCATCTGGGATCAGCCGAAGGCACGGCTCCCCGTTTCCCAGCCCGAGAGCTCATTACAGCTCATGACTCGGTATTTGCAAAGCCTCTCTGGCCCCCGAGGAAGAAGAACCCAGTGGCGACAAATAGATAAAACCATTTCTTAAGTGCAGTTGAGTCGAACTAAAAATAGGCCTCTATGCAGCAGTCAAACCATCTGAGAAAGACAGGAAAGACGAGTGCCCACAGTGACGCCTCTTACTGGAGACATCGAACTGGAACTACTCACATGGTTTGGTAAACTGTCTTTCAAGGCCCTGGCAGCCAAGTAAGTCAGAGCATCTCAGAAGCACTCCGCACAACTGCTGCGCACAACGATCTCCCGAAACAGCCCTTCTAAATGAAGCCATAAATTCCTAGAATTCATTTAACAAACATTACTGAGGGCCTAAGTGTGCGCTGGGACCCCGGCGATAGGAGGGAGAAAATAAACCATGTTTCCATGCAGGGAAAACGGGGGCCTTTTAAAGGCCACAGAGACGCACCGGGCCCCTCTCTGCCTACAAAACCTGACGAGGATGAACTCAATCACGACCCCTCATCAAACTGGGGATGCCCAGAGGAATCCCTCGTCTCAATTTCCATAACCCTCTGTTCTTCCCTCATCTTATGGGCTGCTCTGCCATATAATTGTAATAGCCTCTTTAGGATCGCCAGGCAAACTCTACAAAGGCTTCCTGAGTTTTACTTGCAAACCTCTGTGAGCACACCGATCAGGTGAGAGCCTGAGGAGGAGGAGCTGTGACGCTCTGTCACCTGTGCTCCCACCCCCCCCACCCCCCGCCGGGGTCCCCTCCCTCACACCCTCTCTGGCTCCCACCTGGTCTTTCTGATGACCAGCACAAACCCAGTTTCTAGTCCCGCCCGCCTTCCTGACTTCCAGATGTGCTACTGGCTTCAGGGCAGGTCCTGATCAGAAAGCCCCCAAGTGTTTCAGACTCAACTCAGAAACCCCACTGCTGGGCCCATCTGCCCTGGCCTATGTCCTTGGGGTAAAAGCACCCCCCCCGCCCCCCGCTTCCAAGTGCACATAAGAGAACCTGGGGGTCATTTTGAACTGCACCATCTGTTTGACTTCCCCACATATACCATCAGGCACTAACCCTGCTCAGTCTACTTAAACCAGGCCTTTCGCTTTCATCTCCTCCATTCGTGTTTGCTGAGCTAAATTACGAGAGAGGCTTAACCCATTTGGGGATGCCAAGGGACCGGAGCTGCAGGCAGACATTGTGCAATACCCGGCAACAGCCACACTGAAGACTGGCCAAGCCCTTCTCATGGTATCATTCTGCAGTGCAACCATTTCTTAGCTTTCAAAAGCGAGGGCTCCAACGCCCACATTATTATCAAAGCCAGATGCCTGATCGGCCACGATGACCTTCTGTACCATCTACCAGCCTCGCCCGACTCGTTGGAACACTGCACGAAGCTGGCAAAGTCACAGCACACCAGCTTTGGTGAGAAACGGCTCACATGTTTGACTCAGCTGCTCTGAAGAAAATGGCTTTTTTTCCCCCCTTAATAAAATCAAGACAGTCTAGCTGGGGATGTTCAATTCACCCAAAATATCAGCCCAGCAGCCTGGCAGGAACTCAGACCACAGCAGGCCTTGCTACTCACCAGGAGGCTGACTTCCTCTCTGTTGAGGTGGCCATTGACTTTCAGGTCGCACTCATGCTCTTTATTTGGATTTTCTCCTCCGGTCGTGGCTTCTTCCTCCCCAGCAGTGACCGCTCCTCCGTGTCCCCGATCCGGTGAGTCCAGATGTGGGAGGTCTTAAGTGTTTTCGGTCACAACTGTCACTTGCTTTGTTTTCATTCAACAGGAAGGTGCCACTTCCCTCTTGGCAAGCCCTTCAGTTCCATGGGTGCCTCTGAGAACCCTGGGAGAGAAGATAATGAAGCCAGAGAATTCTACCAGGAAAGCCAGCTCCGCTAATCTGGTCCCGTGAGCATCAGCTCTATGGCTCTCTGCAGAATGACCCCTTCAAAGACCTCGCCAGGAAAGCGCAATAGGGGAGATGCGTGCTGACGGACGGCGCCGTTCTGGGGTGATTTCTAGCTTGTGTGCTTCAAAGCCATGCTGAAGACACTTTTAAACTTTTTGAAGCTTCCCGTTCAAACATCAGTGCCTTAGCCCTAAAATAAACACAAGGAATAGATTATCTCTGAAACCCACAAAAGAGCATGTGACCCAGTGTGGTTAAGCGAATGGTAGACTTCAAAAGAGCTTTCTAGAAAGTTGAAAACAGTTTCAAAAAAAAAAAAGAGAGCGAGAGAGGGTAGCAGGACTTCAAACCCTTCAGTTTCTTGAACAGTGACGTCTCATGGAAGAGAAAGTTAAATAACTTGGGTGAGGAAGCTCGGGCGTCAAGGTGAGTGTACAAATAAGGCAGTTGCTGTAGTAATAATGGGACTCAAATGAAGGAATTGTCACTGTGACAGCTCAAAAGTAACCCGAACATGCAGAAGTCCAGAGCTGGGCAAGTTTCCAAAAGACGCAGTGAGAATTTAACAAGTGGCTTTCAAACTTGGACAACTCGGACTATCAGAGGACTGCAGGGTCTGAACGGGCGGACCCTGGCATCATTTACTCTAATCCTTATCTCTTGCACAGTGGGTCAGCGGGCAGGAAAAATCACCTCCACTGGCCCTAACCAGGTAGCTCATTTGGTTACATCACCGGGATACACCAAGGTTTTGGATTCAATCTCCAGTCAGGGCACATACAAGAGGCAACCAATGAATGCATGAGTGGGTGGAGCAACCGGTCGATGTTTCTCTCTCTCTCTCTCTCTCTCTCTCTCTCTCAAAACCAATCAATCAATAAAAAACCACCTGGACTGTCTTTGCTTATTCCTTCCAGAGATAGGGAGTTCACACTGTTAAATGGATCCTTCCACTAAGCTAACCGGGCCTCTACACACTGGTCCGCCTAACACCCTGCAGGAAAAGTAAACGAGGCCTAACCTCTCCACAAGACAGCCCTTGGTCCATCAAAACTGTATCTCCAAGATGAATGTCCTCAGGGACATGGTTTCAAATGCTCGCTCGCCACCTGTCATTATTCTGGGAGCGCAGTGGAGTGTTTTAAAGCTCCTCTGGTAGAGAGAAGTCCCTAGAGAGGACCCCCCCCCCCCCATGGTCTGTACAATCTGTCTTTCCTCAGCTCGCAGTATCTTGGGCTGGGCCTGCACAGGTTCCCGCTCATGGTTTCTCTGAAGCGTATCTGGAAGCCTGGGGCGAGGCATCTAAGCGCTCGGAACCAAGGACAGCGGAACCAAGGACAGCGGCCTAAGACCCCTTAACGCTTGTTCCCAGCGGGCTGGGCCCTCCACTGCCAAGGCCCCCTCTCCTATCTCTGAAAGGTCCAGAAGAGGCCGGAAGTGGCCCCGGGGTGGGGCAGGGGTTGGAATGTGCCCACAGGAGGCTCAGGCAGGAAGTCCAGAGTCACCCGCTATGACCCGAGGGTGGTGGTGGTGGTGATGGTGTAGGAAGCGGCCTCGGCAGGTCAGCGGGGCAGGAGAGAAGGGCCAGGGAGCGATCGGTTACCGTCCAGGGCCCGGGGAGTGTCTGGCCTCGGTGCCAGGGAATTGGGAACTAGCTGGCACAGGCACGGGGGCAACCTGGGCCGGGCCAGCGCGCAGGGAGGCCGCGATCCCGGAGATCGGGGCTCGGGGTTCGGGATCCGGAGTGCGGGCGGCCGCGGGGCGCCAGCGAACCCCCCGACCTCCCCACCCCCCGTACCTATGCGCGCGGCAGAAAGGCCCCAGGATCACGCGCCGCCAGCACCTCCCGCCCCCTACAGGTCCCCGCGGCGCTAGCGCGCGGAGATGACGTAACCCGGGAGCGCCGC